ATGCTGCCTTTTGAAATCTTCTATTCAACTCTTTAGTATCTTGAATTCTTCCCTGTGCTTTGGCTTCTCTGCGCTCCAGTGCAATTTTCAGAGTATCTTCTGACATCCATTTTGGTCTTTCCCCCCCTCTTCTGTCTTTGTAATGACCTTTTGCACTCTTCCTGGATGATACCCTTGATATTCTCCCACAACTCGTCTGGTCTTTGCTCATTAGTATTCAAGGCCTCAAACCTGTTCCTGAGAGGGTACTGAAAGTCAGGTCGGATAGACTCAAAGTCATATTTTGGTTCCCATGGATTTGGTTTCATTTTCCTCAACTTCAGCATGAACTTGCATATGAGTAGTTGGTGGTCTGTTCCACAGTCAGCTCCTCACCTAATTTTCACAGCTAATATTGAGCTTCTCCAGCAGTTCTTTCCACAGATGTAATCAATCTGATTCCTATGCATACCATCAGGTGAAATCCAAGTATATAACATGCATTTATGTCTCTTAAAAAACGTATTTGCTGTGAATAATTCATTGATTGTGCAAAATTCAATCATTCTTTCTCCAGCTCCATTTCTGTCACTGAGTCCATGTTTTCCAACTACTGAATCTTCTTCTCTGTTCCCAACTTTTGCATTCCAGTCACCCATTATTATTAATGAATCTTGATTTCATTTGAAACATAGGATCTCATATTTTGGATTGTGGTTTCATGTTTTTCCAGAACCTCTATACTGCCTCATTTGTTTGCATTGTTTTGGATTGGTTGTTTTAAGCTCTTCCTGGTTTTTGCTTGCTGTGTCTTGTAGTTCTTCAAGTTTGTCTTTCACCTATTGAAAATATTAAATCATTGTTCTTTTAAATTCTTTGTCAGAAAGTTCCACCAGACTTTCTGGCTTGAGGAAATCCATTGACACTGTGTCATTTTTGGGGGCGTGACATCTTGGTTTGGGCTTGTCTAGGGTGTGAGGTAGCCTGCTTCTTATGTGACATTGCTGTCTTAGAGCTTTTCATGCTTGAGGTGATAACCAGTTCTTCATCTGTAGTCACTGCTCCAGAAGAGAATTGGGAAGGCGCACACATGAGTGTATGTAGGATGTGTGCACCTGCAGACCCATGCAGGGTGGAGGGGTTGTGTGGGAACCTGAATGGAAAACCAGAAAACTTTGATTTACCCCTTGAGAACTGGATCTGCCACCCCAGTTGAGCTCCAGCTGTCTCACTCTCTACTGTGTTAGGTGGAGGGGTTCCACATGGTCCAGCATTCAGCAGTGATAGTCCCTTTATTACCTCATTCAGATTTCTGCTTTCCTGCTTGCTCCTGGCAGGTGGGCTTTGACGTGGCTTATCCTGCTCGCTGTACCTCCCGAAGGCTTGCTAGCCCCTTCCGAGGCTCACTGCCCACCCCCCCCACCCCCGAGGCTACATACCGCCCCCTACCATGCCAAGGCTCCCTGCTCCCGTAGCTCCCAAATTGATTATTTTAATAACAGTTCTCACTCAAATTCCAACTGTCTTACTCACTCTGTTCATATTGCTCTGTTCATGATATTCTTGGTATCCTCCCATAGTTTGTTTGGTCTTTGCTCATTTGTGTTCAAGGCCTCAAACCTCTTCCTCAGATGGTTTTGAAATTCAGGTGAGATAGACTCAAGGTCAGATTTGGTTCCTGTGGATTTGATTTTCTTTCCATAGCTTTAACTTGAACTTATGGTCCTCAGGCCAAGAAAACAATATATACCAGATCTACAGAACATCTCATCCTCCCTGGAGAAACACTTCCATTGTGACTACAGTGTACTACAAGGGGAAGAGAAGTGACCCTAAACTACAAGAAGTCAATTCTGGAGTAGAAGTTCGAGATACAGGACTTTTCCTCAGAACCATCTGAGATAGGAAGCCTTTCCTGATACTAGGAGGTGGCTTTTGGACTTACCGGCTCCTAAACTCAGGAGATACTGGGTGCAGCAGAAAAAAATGGCAGCAGCTCGAGGCTTTAGGAATCACAGAATTCTGGAAAGCTTGAGATATAAGCCATCACATCAGGGTGGATAGGAAGAGGTAGGTATTGAATGAAGTAGGTGGGAGTAGAAGGGAATGCTGGTGGATCAGGGAACAGGGTAGGTCAAGACACGTGTCAAGGGCAGGGACAACACTGAATATTGGTTATTTCTACAGTTGGGAAATGTCTTTGATATGCTCTTTTCCATAAAATGCCTGTCTTTCAGATAATGTTTTAAATCTGAGCATTCAAATGAAAACAGACTAAGAAGAAGGATTGACCATCCACTTCTGAAATAGCAGACCTTCAAAAACTCTATGTACAATAGAGCACTCTTAGTCTAGCAGATATAACAACTGAGCCCTCCAGTATGGAAACACAAGGAGGAAGGAAGAGTTGAGCAGACATTAGTGATTGGAAATTGGAATGTGAAAAACATAGGAAAATTGGATATTGTTAAGAAAGAAATGGATGTTGAAAAGAGGAAAACCAATAACAAACTGGTATTAATATATATAGTGTGGTAATAATACTGTTAAGTACCATCGAGTCATAAATGACTCCTAGCAATTTTATGAACGAAAGACCTGAACACTTATATAACTTTGGGGTTTTGCTTTGTTTTGTTTTTTCATGTTCATAGACATCCGGAGGCAAGCCATTTTGGAAGTGGATGCCTCTCCTGCTTCCAAGCTCGTTTAATTGGGAAGCTTCACCAAACACTGCTCACCATGGGTAACCACCATTATCACATTTGGCACATCAGTGTCACAGTGTTTAGCTACACACCAACCACAAAATACCTCCATACAGCAATGCACAGAGCTATGCTACACCACTTCAAAGAATGTCTGACAAGAAACAATTTAAACCAGGCCTGCGGGCCACAGATTAAAATCACCCACCATGGTCCACTCTGCCAACAGAGCTCTTTCTATGGTGCTGTTGTTTAGTGCCATCGAGTTGTGTGACTTATGGCAACCCTATGAGGTCAGCAGCATGAGGCTGGAATCCATTTTGAAAGCCATCTGCAGGAGCTGGGTTCTACAGAAGTTTGTTGGCTGGGATTGGTGAGCATTAGGGTGGAATGTCGATTCGCTAAGGGGAGTGAGACAGTGTGATAAGGCCTCTTATTTAAAAATCAGTTAGGGCCCAAAGGCTGCAGACCCTCAGGCTTGGTTTAAATTGTTTCTTGTCAAACATTCTTCTAAGTGGTGTAGCGTTGGTCTGTGCTTTGCTGTACAGAGGTAGCTGTAGTTGTTGTGATGCTAAACACTGACATTGAGGTGCCAAATGCAATAATGGTTACCCATGGTGGACAGTGTTTGTTGGAGCTTCGCAATTAAAACAAGCTTGGAAGCAGGAGTGGCATCTACTTCTGAAATGGCTTGCCTCTGGAAACTCTATGAACATGGAGAATTGACCAAAGTAATAATAATGAATAATATATAAAATGTGAATACAAGGCCCGAAGCCTTTGTATAACTATCAACATTTATTGAAGTTCATAGAGTTTCCAGAGACATTTTGTTTAGGAAGTGGATGCCACTTCTGCTTTCAAAATTAATATTATAATAATTAGAAAATGGAATATTTATAGCTTCAATGTTGGAAAGCTGGAAATTGCTAAAAATGAAATGGAATGCATGAACATTGACATGCTAGGCATTACTGAAATGAGATGGACCAGTTTTGGCCCCTTTGATTCAAGTAATCATATGGTATACTATGAAGCAGGTGTGGCATCCACTTCTTAAACAGCATGCCTCCAGAAACACTATGAACTGTGATAAATATTGATAGTTGTAGAGGACCTTCAGGCCTTATATCATAGGGTTGCTATGAGTCATGCTTGACTCAAGGCAACAACAACAAAAACAACATACTATGCAAGGAATGAAAAACAAAAGAGTGGCTTTTATTCATAATCAGATGTCACTGTCAAGTTCTGTGATATCCATATGCACATAGGGAAGACCCATTAACATGACTTTTGCTCAAATATACGCTCCTACATCTAGAAGTAAAGAGGAAGGAATTGAGAATTTTTACCAAATTTTGCAATCTAGACATGACCAAGCATGCAGTCAGGATGCACCAATGATAATTGATGACTGGGCTGCAAAAGTAGGAAACAGTGAAGAAGGAATAGTTGCTGGAAAGTAATGGGTTTGGTGACAGAAATGAGGCTGGAAAAGGAATTCTTGAATTAAGTATTTTTGCAGTTTTGTATTTTATACAATGATTTAGTCATTGCACATAACTTTTTAAAAATGTGCAAAGGATGTCTTTACACATGGGTCTTACCAGATGGCCTGTGTAGGAATCAGATTAATTACATTTATGGAAGAAATCATTGGAGAAACTCAATATCGGCATTCAAAACTAGGCGAGCGAGCAGCGGACTGTGGGTCAGATCATCAATAACTCATGCAAGTTTAAGTTGAGGCCAAAGAAAATGAAAATAAGTCCACAGGAATCAAGATATGATTGAATCAATTCTATCAAGATCATATTAAGAATAGGTTTGAGAAATTGAACATCAATGATAGAAGACCAGATGAGTTGTGGGATAATATGAAAGTTATCATCCATGAAGAAAAGCAGAAGGTCATTACCGAAACAGAGGAGAAAGAAAAAAAAATCAAAATGTCAGAAAAGACTCTAAAGATTGCACTGAAGTGTCGTTGAGAAGTCAGAAGAAAAGGAAACTGTCAAAGAGCTAAACAGAAGATTTCAAAGGGCAGATGAGAGGACAGCGTTTTATAATGAAAGGTGCAGAAAGCTGGAATTGGAGAATCAAAAGAGAAGAATTTGCTCTGCATTTCTCAAGCTGAGAGAACTGGAAAACAAATTTAAGTCTCATGTCGAAATACTGAAAGATGCTGTGGGCAATAATAGTGAATGACCCAGGAAACATCAAAAGATGGAGGGAATACACAGAATCACTGCACCAGAAAGAATTGATTGACAGGGCAAAATTTCAGGAGGTACCATATGAACAGGAGCCAATTATAATGAAGGAGGAAGTGAAGGCTGCATTGAAGGTATTGGCAAAAATTAAGACCCCAGGAATGGATGGAGATACCAATTGACTTATTTCACTTGGGAAATGGCAGTCTTAGAAATTTGGAGGGCAGCTGTCTTGGCCAGTGGTCTGGAAAAAGTCCATATTTGTTCATTAACAACAGCAGTTGTTATGTGCCATTGAGTCTCCTGACTCATAGCCATCCTGTGTACCTTGAAGTGTGCCCTATTCTGAGCCAGTCTCACTGATTCTGACACACGTACCCTTTTTACCCCAGTTACTGTATCAGTCCATTTCATCTAAGGTCTTCCTCTTCTGTGCTGTATCTCCACCCTTCCAAGGGTGACGTCCTTCTCCAAGGACTGGTCCCCCCTGTGTGAGACAGAGCTTAAAAATCCTAGCCTCCAAGGAGTGATTTGCTTTCAACTTCTCCAAGACAGACCTGTTTGTTTTCTTGGCAGTCCATGTTATGTTCAAGATTCTTCTCTACACCACAACTCAAAGGTGTCAATTATTCTTCTGTTATCTTAAGTCATTGTCCAGCTGTGTAATGCATAGCAAATATAATTACAAAGACCATGACCTGGATCAGGTGTACCTCAGTCTCTAATCATTGCTTCTCAGTACCCTGGAGACTGCAGATACAAGTTTAATTACTTAGAAATAGTCATCACAGGTGTGGGAAATGTTTTGCTGTTGTTTGGTACTGTCATGTCAGAACTCATAGCTGACCTTCAAGTACGTATTCAGAGGTAATAAATAACTCAGATGGAACTTGCCCATCTTTCTCCCTGTGAACAGTTGGTAGATCCACTACCACATTGGCATGGCAACTTCTTACCTCATAGGCTATATCTGTCTTCCTGACATAGGAATGTAGTTAACCAGAATGTTAAAAAGATGTTTAAAATAAGCAAGACTGATAAATGTGTTGGAAAATAAACATAGACAGAATTCTCATTTAAGGCCAGCAAGTTTATAGAGGTACTTGGACCATATTTCATTATTTCCATTTACTGTAATTGGTAATGAACTTCTTTTTAAAAGTAAAAAGAATGGTATAAAAATTTCTTTTTTCCAGACTAATAAAGAAAAGGGTGCACTGGTGGCCTAGTGGGTAAGGTGTTGTATTGCCAACCTTAAGGTAGATGGTTTGAGTCCATTAGGTGCTTCACAGGAGAGAGATGGACAGTCTCTTCTTGTGTGATTTACAGCCTCTGAAAACTCTGAACGGTCAACCATGAGTCAGTTCTGACTGGATGGCACATATCAACCAACAACTATTAAGGAGAATCTGTTTTAATTTAATTATACTTTATCATGAAGCCATTTGAACCTTGATCATAAATTATTTTGATTAGCTTAAGAAATGGGTTACTTCAAAAATAAGTATTCTGAAGAATATTGTCTAGATTTTGTCCTCACAAGCATTTGTTTTACAATTTTAATTTCGCTCCTCGAGGAGAGATGAAAGAATTAAATACTGAAACATTTCAGAATGTTTCTTGGCTTTTGATATTTTCTGTTTTAAACTGAAACAGTTGTTGATGGTCTCTCAAGTTCTGGTTTTAGCACAGGTCAATTTTGAAAGCTGTCATATTAGACTATTCTTTCCAGTTTTCAGCTACTTAGTTAAGTTACCTTTCTTCAGTAAGTACTTATTTAAGAGAAATTTTAAAACCTCTTATTTAGTAGAGATTTTACATAATTTTTTCCTCTCCTTTTAAATAAGTTTTTAAAAAACTTAAAATTTTCGTAAGCATTCTAGTTGTGTTTAGTTTTTAATACATCCTTTCCCCCCTTCTTAAAAATTACAGCTTCAACATCTGTACATTTCCCACAAAAAAGCACTAAAGATCATGCCTTGCTGGAGGCTGCAGGACCAAGTCATGTTGCAATCAATGCCATTTCTGCCAACATGGACTCCTTTTCAAGTAGTAGGACAGCAGCGCTTAAGAAGCAGCCAAGTCACATGGAGGCCGCTCATTTTGGTGACCTGGGTAAGTGACTCACTTTTTTTTTTTACTTGGAGTAGGAAGAAGGATTTGTGTACATATTGTAAAACTATAGTTACTGAACAGTATTCTTTGAAGGAACCTTGGAGAAAGTATATTTTAATTAAAAGAATGTGGTTTTTTATTATGTGCTGTTGAGTCACTTGCAATTCATAGTGATCCTATGTACAATAGCCCTGAAACCTGCTCTATCCTGTGCCAACCGTATTGTCTCTGACACACATACCTTCATTACCCCAGTCACTGAATCAATCCATCTTATCAAGGGTCTTCCTCTCTTCTGCTGTCACTCTATTCTTCTAAGCATGATGTCCTTCTCCAAGGACTGGTCCTTCCTTGCAACATTACCAAAGTGTGTCAGAATCCTTAATCCTTGCCTTCAAGGAGCAGCCTGGTTTTACCTTCTCTATGATTAACTTGTTTGTTCTCCTGATAGTCTATGGTATATTCAGTATTCTTCTCCAGCACCACAGCTCAAAGGCATCAGTTCTCTTTCTATCATCCATAGTCATTGTCCAGCTTTCTGACACATAGCAAGCAGTTGTGAATATTATGGCCTGGATCAGGTTTATCTTAGTTTCCAGACTGACATCATTGCTTTTTAGAACTTTGGAGAGGTCTCCAACAGCAGACTTTCATGCCTTTTAATTTTCTGGCTGCTGATGCCAAGAGTGTTGATTGTGGAGCCAAGCAAACTAAAGATGTTTACACCTTAGTCTCTTCACCATCCATCATGATGCTGCCATTTGTCCCAATAAGAATCTTTGTTTTCTTGATGTAGAGTTTCAGTCCATATTGAAGGCTGTAGTCCTTGACCTTCTGAAGCAAGTGCTTCAGGTCCTCCTCAATTTCAGCAAGCAGGGTTGTGTCATCTGCATAATGAAGGTTGTTGATGAGTCTTCCAAGCCTAAAGAATGTCTAATATTTAAAAATTAATTCTTTCCAATAGAAGAAAAATAATATAGCTATGAAATAAATGAAAAATGGTTTTCACTTCAGTAATATTCCGAGAAATGCAAATTCATATAGTGTTTTACCAACAAATTAGCAAATGTTTAAACTTTGGTAATTTGAGCATTAATTACAGATTCAGAGAAATCGCTGATCTCATTTAGTGGAAGTGTAAATTGAGGAGGACCTTTTATTTGTGGTCGATATTTTTTGTTTGTATTTTAATGCACTTTGGAATTACTTATCAATTATTTTAAGCAGAACATCCGTTCCCTGTTTTAGCCTTCAGGTATGCCTGCATGTGTACAACAGAGATGGATATTCAAATATTTATAAGGCTTTTGCTGCCACCTCATAGTAATTAAACACTTGGCTGCTAACTTTATAGATTTACATTTTCTTCACAAAGGATTTGAAAGAACTGTTGAGCATAATGACTTTTGTGTTTGCCTAATTAAAAGGCCATACTTCTATCGCAATTCGAATCCACCAGCAGTTCTGAGGGAGAAAAATGTGCAATCTTTTGTGCAGTTTACAGCTTTGGAAACCCAGTGGAGGGTCAAAGGTCAGTAACCCAAAGAAAGGTCAACCATTAGTAGCGCTTTGAGTTTTACTGCAGTAATGAATGTGATAGTTTTTAAACTGCATTATGCAGATGACACAACCCTGCTTGCTAAAACTGAGGAGGACCTGAAGCGCTTGTTGCAGAGAGTCAAGGACTGCAACCTTCAATATGGATTGAGGCTCAAAATCAAGAAGACAAAGATTCTCACCACTGGACCAATTGGCAGCATCAGGATGGATGGTGAAGAGATTGAGATTGTTCACAGCTTTCGTTTGCTTGGCTCCACAGTCAACACTCTTGGCACCAATAGCCAGGAAATTAAAAGATGTATTACCATGTAAAGTCTGCTGTTAGGGACCTCTCCAAAGTACTGAAGAGCAGTGGTGTCTCTCTGGAGACTAAGGTGCATCTGATACAGGCCCTGGTCTTTGCAATCACTTGTTATGCATCAAAGAGTTGGACAATGACTAAGGAGACTAGATGCCTTTGAGCTGTGGTGCTGGAGAAGAGTATTGAGGGTACCATCGACTGCTAGAAAAACAGACAGATTCATCCTGGAAAGGGTTAAACCGGGCAGCTCCTTGTAGGCAAGGATTCTGAGGCTCCGTCTAACATTCTTTGGACTTGTTGTAAGGAAGGACTGGTCATGTTTGGTAGGGTTGGGGGGCAGCGCAGGAGAGGAAGGCCCTCTATGAGGTGGATTGATTCAGTGACTGGGGTAATCGGGATGGGTGTGTCAGAGACAGTGCAATTGGCACAGGACAGAGCAGAGTTTAGGGTTGTTGTACATAGAGTCGCTTTGAGTTGCAAGCGACTCGATGGCACATAACAACAACAGTGAATGTTATAGTTTTTTTAAAAAATTAACAACATAAATGTCCTTTAGTAGAGAAACAGGTGGCTTTGGTGGCCTAGTCCTTAGGAAACTATGCTATACTAGCCAAAAGGCCAGGCCCCTCTGGCATTTCAAATCTACCAGCTGCTCTGTGGAAGAAAGACAAGTCTCTAGTGTAGTTTACAGCCTCTGAAAACCTGCTTGAGGGTCAGCTATGACTCGATTAATATTCAAAAGCAATGACTAACTTTGAATTGAGTAGTAGGGTCTTGGTGATGCAGTGGTTAAGCACTTGACTTCTAAAGATCAATTAAAACCCAGCACCCACTTTATGGGAGAAAGATGTGGCAGTCTGCTTTTATGGAGTTGTTGTGAATCTGAGTTTACTTTGAACAGCAGTGCATTTTTAATGGAATTAATACTCAGCTTGGATTACTGCTTAGCCATTTAAGCATTTAAAGAAGATGTGGTGAAATATATCCAAGACATAGTAACTGAAAAATAGATCACGTTGTAATATGTAGAATATGATCTCTGTTGTGTTAAGATAATGTCTACCACCCCCCTCAAAAAGAAGTTTTTGTTTTCTGAATATAAACCAAATTTCTTCACCAAATTAAGTTCAGACTTCTTCACTAAATAAAGTTCTCATTAGCGGCAAGCATAATGAAACTTCATCTCACTTATTTGAGCATATTTGCACAGGAAGAACCAGTCCTTAGAGAGAGACATCTTGTTGCGAAAGTTAGAGGCTCAGCAAAAGAAAAAGATCCTCCACAAGATGAATTGACACAGTGACTACCTACCACAGTGGGCTTGAGCATAACAGAGATCATACAAAACAGGGCAGGGTTCAGGTCTGTTGTTCACAGGGTCTCTCTCAAGTGTAGTCAGCTCAGTGACACCTAACAACAACAGTAAAATACTGTATCATAAAATGGGGGGAAGTCAATGGTTAATTGAGTTTGGTTGAAAATATACAGCAGAACAATCAATTCAATGATTTTCATGTGTGCTGTTCAGTGTTAGTAATTGCATTCTTCAAGTTGTGCAACTAGTCTCTTTTCCCAGTTGTTCCTCCTCCATTAACATAAACTTACTGCTCTGTAAATGTCCTGTCTTTTGAGTTGTTGTCAGTTTGATCTTATACAGCCTAGTGTCAGTGTCTCAAGGAAGGTATTTATTTAAGTTAAACTATTGTTTGATTCCTCAGAGTCAGGGATGATAAAACTTTGTCTCACTTGCTTTGGGCATATTTCCAGGAGAAGCTAGTCCTTGGAAAGAGAGAGCGTTCCAGGAAAAGTGGCGGAATGACCTTCAATGAGATGGATTGGCACAGTGAATACCACAGTGGGCTGAACACAACAGAGATAAAGATGGTACAGGATAGGGCATGGTTCTCATCTGTTAGTCATAGAGTTGCTGTATTGTCCTTCTGTGCTTCATTGACTATGCAAAGGCTTTTGACTGGGTGGATCACAACAAGCTATGGCTGATTCTGAGAAGAATGAGAATCTCAGAACATTTGATTGTGCTTATGCAAAACCTATACTTGGGCCAAGAGTCAATCATCAGAACAGAGCAAGGAGACACTACATGGTTCAAAATCAAGAAAGGGGTCCACCAGAGATGTATTCTGTTGCCATACCTTTTAAATCTGTATGCAGAACAGATCATCCAAGACACTGGGCTGTACGAGGAGAAATGTGGCATCAGGATTGGTGGAAGAGTCATCAACAGCCTGCATTATGCAGATAACACAACCCTGCTTGCTGAAACTGAGGAGGACTTGAAGCAATATCAATAAAACGAAGATTCTCACCACTGGACCAATTGGCAGCATCAGTATGGATGGTGACGAGATTGAGATAGTTTACAGTTTTAGTTTGCTTGGCTCCACAGCCAACACCCTAGGTACCAGCAGCCAGGAAATCAAGAGACAAATTGCATTTGGGAAAGTTAGCTGTCAGGGACCTCTCAAGAGTACTGAAGAGCAATGATGTCAGGCTGGAGACTAAGGTGTGCCTGATCCTGGCTATAGTCTTTGCAATTACGTGCTATGAGTCAGAAAGCTTGAGAGTGACTAGGGATTATAGAAAGGATACCTTTGAGCTATAGTTCTGGAGAAGAGTTTTGAATATACCATGTACTGCTAGGAGAACAAATAGGTTTGTCCTGGAGAGGGTGAAGCCAGACAGCTCCTTGGAGTCCAGGATTCTGAAACTTGGTCTGACATACTTTGGGCATGTTGCAAGGTGAGACTGGTCCTTGGAGAGGGACATCATGTTTGGGAGAGTGGAAGGACAGAGCAGGAGAGGAAGACCCTCAAGGAAATGGATCGATTCTGTGATTGGGATAGTGGAAGTGAGTGTGTTAGAGAGGTTTGCATAGGATAGAGCACAGTTTAGAGTTCTTGTACATAGGGTTGCTATGAGTAACAAGCGACTCACTGTCACATAACAACAATAGCAAAGGCAATAACATTGCTTGGCTTTGAAAAGCATATGGCATAGTAGGTAAGGAGTTGCATTGCCTTCTCAATGGAAGGCAGTTTGAATCCACCAGCGACTCAAAGGGAGAGCAATAAGCAGGCTTCTCCTGTGCCAGTTACAGCCTCTGGAGAGTCACCTGTGA